CCATTAATAATTGTGCACTCTAAGAAAGCTGATTTTCCAAATAAGCTTAAATCTTCTCATTGGTAAAACAAGGAGGAATGTAGACTGTTTTGAAGACCCAATTGCCCAGTTTAGCAGACTGCCAAATATGAAGGCAAGAATGCCTACGGCAGAAATTTCATTCCTTGCCCCAGTTGGAGCAAGTGAGGAATTAACATTTCTTGAGTGCATCTCAGTATTCAGTATATGCTAGGCCCTCTACAGACACGGTCTCAATTGATCCTAATGAAAACTATAAGAAATGGCCATTGTTCCTGTAGCTTAGAAACACAGCAGTCTCCCAGGAAGCAGCAACCAGATCAACATTATTCACAGAACAGCCATGAAGCCAAGATCCTTGCAGGAATGAGAGAACTCTGCCTTAGATCCACCTTCGATGACCTGGGAGAATACCTGAGGGTCCTCACTGGGGATTTTTCCAAAAGACAGTATTAAAACCCAGTTGGTCTAAGAGATGAGTTTCAGTGGCACACAATTAGATATTATTTTGCTTTAATTGTGTTATATGAAACTGAATTTGGCCAAAGGAAGTCTCCATTCTTGAGTACTTATATAAAGAATTGCAACCAAATTTAGTACCTAAACCAACTGAGGACCTAGCATAGGATTAGATTTTATACCAAATGGCTGAATCAGTCAACCTCAGCAGCTAATTTCAGTCAATTACATGTGGCCAACAGACCAGATCATGTGCTGTGAAAATAAAGGGAAAATTACAATGAAAGCAACATTGAAAGAGATTTTCAGCATGGAGTCAGGAGGCCATTAAGAGGTAGGATTTATATATGATTCAAGCTGCTGCCCAAGAATGTGAATTTTGGTCACTGCCTACATTGACTACAGGTATCTGGAATGGAACCATCAGACAATTATGTTGTGTTTAAGATCCATAACAGGGGCCGGCACTGTGGCTCACTTGGTTAATCCTCCACCTGCAGCGCTGGCATCCCATATGAGCGCTGGGTTCTAGTCCCGGTTGCTCCTCTTCCAGTCCAGCTCTCTGCTGTGGCCCAGGAAGGCAGTGGAGGATGGCCCAAGTGCTTGGATCCCTGCAACCACATGGGAGACCAAGAAGAAGCACCTGGCTCCTGGCTTCGGATTGGTGCAGTGCCAGCCGTGGCGGCCATTTGGGGAGTGAACCAACAGAAGGAAGACCTTTCTCTCTCTCTCTCTCTCTCACTGTCTATAACTCTACCTGTTTAAAAAAAAAATTCATAGCAAAAGATATTGGACTCTTGCTAAATGGACATATCCATTCTGTTTATACATTCTTTTCTTTATCTTCTATCAGTTTGAACCCTGCATCTTCTCAGCATTCATTTGCCACTGAAGCTCCCACTTTTCCTGCCTTCCCAGAACACTGATTCAGAGCTGTCTGAAACTGTGTCTCCCAAATTGCAATTCCTACAACCCCAAATAAAATCCTTTTTACTTTTGCTGTTTGAGTTTAGGATGATCAACAGTTCAATTGAGGAAACCAGTGAGCTGTAACTAACCAAGCTTTTTCCGTACCTCATTTCTTTTTTCTGTCCACAAATGCTGCCTGCTTGTATTGCAGAGCTGAGCTCTCTGATCCACTTCTAGTTCTGAGGACTGCCCAATTTGCAAATCATTCACTGCTCAATTAAGCTCTGCTACATTTGAGCTGCCTAAAGTTTTATCTTAGCAACTGTAGTCACTGTTAAGGTTGACTTCCATTCAGTAGTGGTTGTCCATTTAAGGTGATTAATAAAATAAGTTTAATTTTTTAAAGTAACTCAAATTGAAGAAAATTATGAAGAAATTGATAACATAGGCACTATTGAGATATCTCAAAACTGTGGAGAGGATTTGGAAATGACTGGATCTCAAGAAAGGCAGGGCCAGCCGAAGCAAAGAAGTGTTAAGGCTCCAAGATGCCAGAAGGGCAACCCAGGAAGGCTGGGAGGATCAGGCTGAGATTTACCTCCTATTAAAGTTGCTTAAAGACATCTGCAGACAAAGCGTGGGCCCTTGAGAAAGACTGAAGATGGAATAGGGAGAGGGACATGGGAGGAGGGACAGGAAGAAAGCAGGAGCAAGTGATGCAGATAGAGAAGTTCTCAGTGCCACTGTGGGAACCAGTGCTGTCATCTGTCCACCCTAGCGAGGACAGTTTTGGGGGGAAAGCCAAAACAGCTCAAAGGTTTTCTTAGCCTCTCATTTTTCTCTATGAAGTAGGGAGAATCCAGCTGTACAATGATCATTCTCAGAAACAAAAGAACTAAAATAATGAAGCTTCTTGTACTTTCGACTTTGCCCAGTCACTGTCACAGGTGGCTTCTGGAGATGAGGCAAGAGACAATAGAGTAATTGTTCCTAGAAAAAGACAGTGACGTTGTGCAAATTGAAATCCACTGCCTCTTACATCAGGCATTGTGTTTCCTAAACAACATTTTTGTAGGGCAGCTGGATGGCACACGCAATATATTCTTAAAAGCCAGGGCTGTGTTTTTTCCTAGTCTTGTGTCCAAACTAATCTTTAGGGGATTTTGAAAATGCTTATGGAATTTATTCTATGCCACGTTTTCTCTTCTGTTTCTCTCAGTGATCCTAGCATGTTCAAGTTTAGGATTTGGTCAAATTAGCTTCTAAGTCAAGTCCCTAAATGCTATTTCTGTTTCCTGTGCCCCCATCACCCACAAATACATACACTGTCTGTATCCAGGCTGTCAAGGTAGAAAGTTCCTCTACTCCCCGCTAATAGAACAGGAGCAAAAGAAGTCATGGAGCCTCTTTAAATCTGCAAACCAATTTTCACAAAGGACAGGATGGTAGGGATCAAAACAGTAGCAGATGCCCAGACTTCAATCTTCGACAAAGTTTGGGACCTGCAAGAAAGAACCTCAGACCCACACTTTGTGGAGATGGGGAAAAGGATTATAAACCAGGGATCTGCAGGGTCACAGAAGTGGTTCTGAAGAAAATCTGGGTCAAGAGGGACACTGAATGAAAGTTTGCTGATTGAATCAATAAATTCAAGAATGGCTGTGTAAGCAGGTGGGACCATGGCAGGCCCAGAAGAGAGAAGATAGGGAGCTGACAGCAGAAGTTTATTGTTATGCTTCTCCAGCCTCAGTTGAATTTGAGTCAAAGGATGAGGACACATTCAGGCATCTTAGGGCTCCTTTATCTCAACCTACATATTATGAGACACAGCATCTCTCTTCCTACATTTCACAATAAAGATTGTATAAACTCCTAGATAATAATCTTTCCAAGATTAAAGAACTGAAACTCACTAGAGGGGAGGACATGATACACAACAATTTCCTTAAGAACTCATAAAAATCCCCTGAAGTTAATTTGGCTGTTACAGACAGTACCCTGGTTTCAGGGAGCATTTATTGAGAGGCTGCTACATCCCTCATGGTTGGTGCAAGCCAGGGGCTTCACCCTGAACTGGGAGGTGGTGGGCAGAGAAACTGGGTGAAGAGCCAGGAAATATGATCCTGAGTCCTGGCTCAGATACTACATGGCTTGGGGAAAAGACATTCCAAGCAGAAAATAACTTATGAGCCATCACAGAGACACAAGAAACAGGATACGTGTTCAAGAAACTGTAAGCAGCATAGCATTTGATAAAAATGTCAGGCAGGAGGGATGAGACTTTGGCCAATATATAGTAAGTGCTCAATAAATAGCTGTTGAATGAATGAATCAGAGGAGGCAGAAAACAGTGCTCAGAGGACCTATGGTTACTCTGTGCTAAGGAACTTGGATTTGTCTTTTTGGCAATGAAGAACCACTGGCAAAAGATGACTTTACTCAGTCTTTCTTTGTAGCTAGGTGCTGTATTGTATGAAAATTTAACTTAGGGGGATAACAAATGACACAAAAAGGCCAAGAAAGAGGCAATGATCATGGAGAAAAAGCATACATGGCTTGGAGAAAGGAGAGCTGAAACAGGTGATTGGATGAGGGAAAATAAGTGGAAGAAACACTGAACCTGTGGGCTCTCAGGTCCTAAGGTGCTTGCTAGTCATACTGGTTCACATGGAAAGTGCATGAAGAGCAAGCACTGATCACTTTAGCTTTACACACGCTGAATGGAACGTCCAGGTAGAAATAAGCCCCAGCCAATATTTACTGAGCCAGCCTTTCTTACTAATGCCATTTTTAAGACAAGTAAACATGGTACAGAGCCTAGCGTCAAATGACTGATTAAGTGGCAGAGTCAGATTCAAATCCAGCTTGGCTCTCAATCCTGTTCACTTAACCTCTGTGCAAATGGTTACATATTTGCCATGTATCCTAAGCACTCATTCCTCATTCTCTCTTCCTAGAAAAACAAAACACAAAATAACCAAATTAAAGTGATGACTTAAGCTTGCTAAGCACACAGCATGTAAGAATGCCAACTATCAGATCGTGAATTCCATTATCATTGCCACTCTAACACATAGCTACATCTCAATCTATATTTTACCATACATACATCTGGTCTCCAAATTAAGTAAGAGATGCTATTTTCAAATTCATCTGTTAAGTCATGCTTTTTTCTGTAATTTATTTACAGAAAATTAAAGAGCATATGTCATTTTTTAAGTAGGAAAAGTCAAAATTGTTCCTTATCTGAATTATAAATATCACAGAACATTCAATAAAATCCTTGATAATATTCTTCTCTTAAATTAATTTTTAAACCTAAAATCACTTCTTTACTTTCTAATTACTTTGAAAAACTAACAAAAGTTTTTTTTTTTTTTTTTAATTCCTAAGAGAGTTCATGATGTTAATTGTGAAATGGGTATGAGGTTTGAAAGGTCAGGAATGACTTCCTGGCACTAGGGTACAACTTCTACCACTTTGGGACAGATCCCATAACCCAGCGACCTCCGTGAGCAACTGCAACAAGAATAAATCTGAGTTCTCTTTTATTGCACAATTTGCAGTGGAGGGTTCAGTTTTGACTTGGCCCCCTTATTGGGTGGATGACTCACCATTTCAGGGACATAGTTCAGGGCCTCATGGGCACGCTCATCTGATGAACTAGTCTGTTTAGAGTTCAATGCTGTTTTCATCTGGCCTTAGTCCTTCAGAGATGGAGAACGAGTCCTCACTGAAAAGCCAGGTTGATCAGGAAACACGCATGACCTATTCTGAGAAATGGAAGCAAAGACTTTAGCTTCCATCCTTGGTTACATCAAGCTCTAGAACTTACCATAAACTTAACAGCAACCAAAAGGAAAGTCTTTCCTCTTGACCCTTGGCTGGCCCTTATTTCACTTCCATGAATTTTTCTCTTCTTTCTGGCTGTTTAAGTTTTGTCCTCCCTTGAGATTTAGCCATCAACAAAAAGCTGAATTCAGGCAGAGTAACAGAGGGCTCCAGTGAGCCCACTTGTAACTAAACAACATTTGAAATGTAGCTACATGTAATGGCTCAAAAATATATTTTTTATTGTATCTGATTTTAATTCATTTAGATTTTAATTTTAAAATGTATCAGATTTGTTTAATGGAGAACTTCTGAATGTTTGAAACATTTTCAGTATATGAATTGACTATTTCAACTATAAATTTTAAAACATAAATACAGACCAAATATTTCCAATGAAAATTTAGTCTCCAAACTGAGATGTGTAATGTGCTAAATATATACCAAATTTCAAAGACTTAGTACAAAAAAGAATGTAATTATCCAGTGATTTAATATTTTTGCAATACTTGGTTAAATAAATCATTAAAATTAATATCATGCTTCTTTTTACTTTATTCACTTGTTATTTGAGAGACAGAAAAACAAAGAGTCAGAGAGAAAGCTCTCCTACCCACTGATTTACTCACCAAATGCCTAAAACAGTCAACTGTGGGCCACAACTGAAGCTAAGAGCTGGGAATTCAATACAAGTCTCTCATATGGGTGGCTGTTTCTTCAGCCATCACCCCTGCATTGCAGGGTCCACGTTGGCAAGAAGCTGCAATCAGAAGCCAGAGCCAGGAATGGAACCGAGGCACTTCTTTTTTTTTTTTTTTTTAATTTTATGTTTTGACAGGCAGAGTGGACAGTGAGAGAGAGAGACAGAGAGAAAAGTCTTCCTTTGCCGTTGGTTCACCCTCCAATGGCCACCCCAGCCGGGGCACTGCGGCCGGCGCACCCCGCTGATCCGATGGCAGGAGCCAGGAGCCAGGTGCTTCTCCTGGTCTCCCATGGGGTGCAGGGCCCAAGGACTTGGGCCATCCTCCACTGCACTCCCGGGCCACAGCAGAGAGCTGGCCTGGAAGAGGGGCAACTGGGACAGAATCCGGCGCCCCAACTGGGTCTAGAACCCGGTGTGCCGGCGCTGCTAGGCGGAGGATTAGCCTAGTGAGCCGCGGCGCCAGCTCCGAGGCACTTCTAAATAGGATATGGACATCCTAACTGTTGAGTTGCATGCCCATCTTTCTTTTTTACTTTTCTAATGTGGCTACTGTTGCTCATATAATTTCTATAAGATGGTGCTGGTATACATAGCAGGTGATAACGTCAGAGACTCAGTTTCTCCCAATTGCTGGCTACATGTCTTTAAGCAAAACTTTTTAACTCTTGGCCAGCGCCGCGGCTCACTAGGCTAATCCTCCGCCTTGCAGCGCCAGCACACCGGATTCTGTCCCGGTTGCCCCTCTTCCAGGCCAGCTCTCTGCTGTGTCCAGGGAGTGTAGTGGAGGATGGCCCAAGTGCTTGGGCCCTGCACCCCATGGGAGCCCAGGATAAGTACCTGGCTCCTGCCTTCGGATCAGCGTGGTGCACCAGCCGCAGCACACCGGCTGCGGTGGCCATTGGAGGGTGAATCAACGGTAAAAAGGAAGACCTTTCTCTCTGTCTCTCTCACTGTCCACTCTGCCTGTCAAAAAAAAAAAAAAAAAAACTTTTTAACTCTTTAAAACTGTTTATTCATCTGCAAACAGAAGAAAATGTTACCATCTGTTGAATAAGCCTATAGTAAATTTTACATGAGATGGTAAACAAAAAATTTATCACAGTGCCTGGCTAACAATAAAATATTCTGTAAATACTCACTTTCATTTTTGTTGTTAACATCATACTCCAACAATCATGCAGACATTAGCAGAAGAATGTTATCAAAACTAATGTGAGTTTCCTACAGGTTACCTCTGGTATCTCATGACCAGATAAAGTAACTTGAGGTCAACAACAAAATTTTTCTAATATTTTTAGGTGTATTTTTATTTTAAAAATCACATTTTTTAGTTGATGAAATGCTTTTATTTAAAACAATGAAATTACTTAAAATAGACTTCTCTGGAAAAATTCAGGGCATGAGAAAATAGTGGTGCTCAATTTTTTTTTTTTTTTTTTTTGACAGGCAGAGTGGACAGTGAGAGAGAGAGACAGAGAGAAAGGTCTTCCTTTTGCTATTGGTTCACCCTCCAATGGCCGCCGTGGCTGGCGCACTGTGGCTGGCGCACCGCGCTGATCGGATGGCAGGAGCCAGGTACTTATCCCGGTCTCCCATGGGGTGCAGGGCCCAAGTACTTGGGCCATCCTCCACTGCACTCCCTGGCCACAGCAGAGAGCTGGCCTGGAAGAGGGGCAACTGGGACAGAATCCAGCGCCCCGACCAGGACTAGAACCCGGTGTGCTGGCACCGCAAGGTTGAGGATTAGCCTTGTGAGCCGCGGCGCCGGCCGATGGTGCTCAATATTTCAAAGAACCCAAACTCAGCAATCCTCACTTTAGATTCATTTTTGAAGATTAAAGCTTCACTTAATCCACACTTTTTCTCTTTTTCTGGTCTGGATTATAAAGAGACTTCTAAATAAATAGAACAGATAGACAGTAGGAACTTTTGCTTCCAGAAAGATGGAGATGTGCCTTTCCCTTCCCCCTTCCTCCTGCCAAGTACAACCAAAAGCCCTGGATCCTACGAAGGTGGAAAAAAGAATTCACACCATTAGAAACCTCAGGACCCAAGGAGTAACACAGTAGTGAATCACTGCCCTTCCATGTTGACTCATTTATCCCAAACTTAGAACAAGAGACCATGGATACACAGAATGGCGGTGGGCACAGACATAGAAAAACCCCAAATGCTTGCTCTTTCTGGCTAAATGACCAGGAAAAGTGAGTTTAGCAAGATAGTTTCTGAATAATAACCACTCTACTCCAGCCAAACACCACAGTCAGACTGAATCCACTTCCACCTGTGCCAACAAAGATCAGGTAGGGAGTCTCCACTTTGGCCCTTGGTAACAGGTATCCCTTTCTCTCCCCATTGCCCTGGTATCAGAGGTGGCTCAGCAAAGACACAAGACCTTCACCACTGCCCAAGAGTCACTAGGCCCTTCCAGCACCTATGGCATCTACGGAGGAAACACAGGACGTCAGAATCCCCAACCATGGCCATAAGTAATGCAGTACCCTTCCTGTCCCCAGGTGTCAACAAAGGATGGATAGGGGACTGGATTTCTACACAACCTGGCATCAGTGAAAAGGTAACTACAGGGCTGGTGCTGTGGCCTAGTGGGGAAAGCTGCTATCTGAGACATCAGCATCCCGTAGGGGCTCTGGTTCATGTTCCAGCTGCTCCACTTCTGAACCAGCTCCCTGCCAATGTGCCTGGGAAAGCAATAGAAGATGGCTCAAGTACTTAGGCTCCTGTACCCACATGGGAGACCCAGAAGAAGCTCCTGGATCCTGGCTTCAATTGGTCCAGTTCCAGACATTGTGGCTATTTGGGGAGTGAACCAGCAAATGGAAGATCTCTCTCTGCAATTCTGCCTTTCAAATAAATAAAATAAACCTCTATAAAAAAAGGGGTGGGGTGGGGTACCTCATAGCCAGAGTGAAATTAGAAAAGCTAGCTGAAAACAGAAGGTTTAGGTAAGATCCAGAGAGTCATAACCCAATTCCCAAATGCCCAGATTTCATTCAAAAATCACTTGTCATAGTGAGAACCAGAAAATCTCATCTTTAATTTAGAAATACAATGGGTAGGTGCCAATACTGACATGATATTGCAGTTACCTGGCAAATCTTTGTAAAATAAATATAAAAATGATTCAATGAGCAATTATTTTTTAAATATTTGTTTATTTATTTGAAAGTCAGAGTTACACAGAGAGAGGAGAGGCAGAGAGAGAGAGAGAGAGAGAGAGAGAGAGAGGTCTTCCATCTGATGGTTTACTCCCCAGATGGCCGCAATGGCGAGAGCTGTGCCGATCCAAAGCCAGGAACCAGGAACTTCTTGCTGGTCTCCCATGTGGGTGCAGGGGCACAAGGACTTGGACCACTTTCTACTGCTTTCCCGGGCCATAACAGAGAGCTGGATCAGAAGTGGAGCAACTGGGTCTCGAATCCGCGCCCATATGGGATGCCAGCACTTCAGGCCAGGACGTTAACCCGTTGCGCCACAGCATTGGCCCCCAATGAGCAATTATGAACATACTTGAAACAAATGAATAAAAATAAAAGGCTTTGGCAAAGAAATCAGTTTAAAGAACCAAATTAGGGGCCGGTGCTATGGCGTAGTGGGTAAAGCTTCCGCCTGCAGTGCCGGCATTCCATATGGGTGCTGGTTTGAGTCCCGGCTGCTCCATTTTTGATGCAGCTCTCTGCTGTGGCCTAGGAAAGCCTTAGAAGATGGCCCAAGTGCTTTGGCCCCTACACCCATGTGGGAGACTTGAAAGAAGCTCCTGGCTCCTGGCTTCTAATCTACTCAGCTCTGGCCAGAGTGGCCATTTGGGAAGTGAACCAGTGGATAGGCAATCTTTCTTTCTGTCTCTCCCTCTCTCTGTCTGTAACTCTATTTCTCAAATAAATAAATAAAATCTTTAAAATATATATATAATTGAAATATAAAATTTCAGTGAAAGAGTTCAACAGTATAATGGAGGGAAAAGGAGAGAAAGAGTAAAGACAGAAAAAAAGAAAATACTCAATCTGAACAAAAATAAAAAAGGCACTAAAAAATTATCATAGCAACTGGGACATGTAATATAACAAAAATCTCAATTAATACCATTGGAATTCCAAAGAGAGAGATTGTAGCTTTAAAATTATTTGAAGAAATAATGGCTGAATATCTCAGATTTGACAAAAGTCATAAACCTACAGATTCAAAAAGCTTAGGATACCCAAACAGAAAACCCAAAGAAAT